AAAAAAAAAAGAAAAAAAAAAGAAAAATAAGGAACTCATGCAATATTATTCAAAATGGGTGACCCTGGAGGATATTAAGCTGAATGAAGTATCTCAGTCACAAAAGGACAAATACTACATGGTGCCACTGTTGCAAAACAGGACTGACATTAGGTTGAGGGGGGAGACTGAGCTGAGAAATATGGGATAAATAATGTATTCTGCATTGAAACAGATGAGGGAGAAACCCGTTAAAAAGAGATATATGATTAGTCAGTATTTTTGTCATGACTCGAGTCTAAAGCGAAGGCTCCATAGTAGAGTGGACCTGGAGGGAAGGATTGTAAAACAATGAAAGAATTTGTCTTTTACTTTTCCAAGGGGGGTGTGTACTTGGGGGAAGGGGTGGGTGGGGAGAAAAGTGCAACAATGAATGAATGGAAATCTAAAGTCTCTGTAAATTTTCATGGAAATTAATAACACAAAAATTATTAAAAATATTAAAAAAAGATAAATTTTTTTTCAAGGTAGCTCCTTGCATTCTTGTTGTTGTGTACCACAGAGTCAGAAATGACCCCTAGCTGACCTTCCAGTGGGTTTTCAGAGGCAGTTAATCTCATGGGAGGGGATTGCCCATCCTTCTCTCACAGAGCAGTTGGTGGCCTCAATCTGTGTGCCATTGGGACTGTAGCACAGCTTCTTGCCACTAGGCCACAAGAGCTTCTTGTATACAAAAGTTTAAAAACATTTTTAATTTCATTTTTCACAACCAAAAAGAATGGTTTCATGAGATGTGGTTTAAGAAAAATATTGGCAGAGATATAATTTTAAATCTTGGGTAAGAAGTGTATAAAAGTAAAATATATGTGGTTTTCAAAGAAATACTCAAGGCCTAACTGGGTATGCTAAACATCTTGTCACATTCCAAGTGAAAAATGAGGATTTGTATAGCTTACTTTCAAAGAGAAGTTTTGTTAAAACACAGCATCATATTGCTAAGACTGTATTAAATCAAGCTGCACATGGTACGGAACACAGTTGAGAAGTTTATCTTTTGTAAAAACAGTACAGAAATCCTTAGTCATCTGACATCTTCACAGGCAAAAACTCTGAGTTTTGGTAGAGACTTCAGAGATCATTCAGAGCAAGGTTGTCATTTAAAACACTCCAGTACCACAGCACACACTGATTCCCAGTGTAGTATACAACTCTGAGCAGGCCTAGTTTGGGTTAAGTTATTCTTAATACAAACAACTCTTTATCTCTGCTACCCACTTATTATCCCTAGATCTGACCGCAGAGGTCCCAGTCAACAGGCCTAATTTCTCTTCAATTTGAAAGCAATGCTCCCTCTCCCCTACTCTATATTGCCTCATTTTTCGCTCTAAAATATTGTCCCCTCAGATGAACTGGACTTAACTGAACAGATTCCCTGTTCTATTTTCCTCTCAACAAGCTTTAATTCACCACATTCCCTTTAAGTAGGTGAATAATATCACCAAGTAGTTTTTCTCTCTACACATCCCACAGCTCAGACATGCCTCAGCTCACGGCATGTGTGCAGTTGTTTCTGGATCTAAGTAACGGATTATAGTCTTATCTCACACATTTAGGGTGAACCATTTCTAATTTGATACCATCCTGGATTCTTGAGCTATCTTTTAATGGGTTCTCTATCGTTATGTTCACCATCACTGGAAAATTTGTCAAGTTCACTATTAAAGCCCTCATCTGAAACTTCCTAAAAAAATGATGATAAGGTAGGGATGAGGACAGACTTAATAGGATAGACTTCCTTCTACATTTATATCAGTTCATTAACCAGCACCCTATCGTGATAAATTTTTTCTTTTTTAAAATTATTATTAAATTTTATTAATTTTAATGAACATTTACAGAGATTTGGGGTTTTCATTCATTCATTGTTGCACTGTTTTCTCCACCTTCCTCCCCAGTTCATTCCTCTTTCCCCCCTGCCAATGTCTGTTTTATTTGTCCAATTGCCACAGTGCTTGTCAAAGCCAGTTCTG